CTCGGCCTCATTGTTAGTTAACTTGAAAGTTTTGATAGCTTGTCTAATTGTATTACCCGTGGGCGGCTTCAAAACTATGCCTAGCCCGGACCCCTTCACGTTCGAAGCGCCGTCTGTGAAAGAGGGTCCACACCCTCGATGATGTACCCGACTTTAATAATAGTTCCTTTTCGACCTCGGGTACGAGGGCTGGCGTAAAGTCAGCCACGAAGTCCGCTAAGATTTGAGACTTGATGGCCGTTCGGGGTCGATACTCGATATCGTACCCACTGATCTCGGCGGCCCATTTGGCCAATCGGCCCGAAAGTTCGGGCTAATGCAAATTATTGCGAAGGGGATAAGTAGTCACCACACAGATCGGGTGACACTGAAAATATGGTTTTAATTTCCTAGAGGCGCTTATTAGGGCAAGCGCTAATTTTTCTAAGTGTGGGTACCGGGTCTCGGCCTAACCTAAAGTTCGACTAACATAGTAAACAGAAAATTGCGTACCTTACTCTTCTCGAACTAGGACCCCACTTACCGCGATTTCCGAGACTGCTAGGTACAAGTAGAGTTGCTTGTCCGCTTTCGGAGTATGAAGCAGTGGCGGGCTCGAGAGGTACCGCTTTAATTCTTCCAATGCTTGTTGGCATTCCGGGGTCCATGCAAAATTGTTCTTCTTTTTGAGCAGTGAGAAGAACCTGTGACTTCTATCTGTAGACCTCGAGATGAATCGGCTTAGGGCGGCTATGCGCCCTGTTAATCTTTGTACAGCCTTAACATTGTCCACGACTGTGATGTCTTCGATTGCCTTGATCTTATCGGGGTTGATTTCGATCCCCCGATTTGATACCATAAAGCCGGGGAACTTGCCTGAGCCGACCCCAAACGCACATTTCTCCGGGTTGAGTTTCATGTAGTATTTCCTTAGTCTATTGTAGGTCTCCTGCAAATGTGTCAAATGGTCCTCTGCTCGCAGGGACTTAACTAGCATATCGTCAATATAAACCTCCATTGATTTACCTATTTGTTCTTCGAACATTCGATTTACTAAGCGTTGATAGGTGGCACCAGCATTTTTTAGTCCAAACAGCATTACATTATAACAATAGGTGTCGTACTTAGTGATGAACGAAGTCTTTTCCTGATCCTCCGGGTTCATTTGTATTTNGAAGTTTGGCTACCTTGTCCTTGATGAATGAATGTTTTACCTCGGACTAGGGCCTTCTCTTTTGTTTTACCGGGCAGAACTTCGGGTTCAAGCTCAGTCGATGTGTAGTGATCTCTGGCGGGATCCCTGTCATATCTAGGTGGGACCAAGCAAAACAATCCATATTATTGATAAGAAGTTTAATGAGTTTTTCCCTAAGCTCGTGGGTTAACCCCGTACCCAGATATACCTTTCGATCGGATAGATGCTCGATCAGTATGACTTGCTCCAGCTCTTCGACTGTCGATTTGGTGGCGTCCGAATCCTCACGGATTATGAAGGATCGAGGGGTCCAGTAGTCATCGTCCTCGTCTGTTCCCTGCTTCTCCGACTGAGTCGAGGCTGGTGGTTGTGGTTGCTATTTAGCTTCATGTTTTCCTTTGGACTCCGATCCCTTTGTTGACGAAAGCACCGATACCGGTATTACTTCGTCGACCGCGAACATTTCTTTGGCAGCATGTTGTTCCCCACACACCGTTTTTACTCCACCCGGTGTTGGGAACTTCAGCATTTGGTAAAGGGTTGAGGGGACCGCCCTCATGTTGAGAATCCAGAGTCTTCCGAGCAGTGTTGTATCTCATATCGCCCTCTATCACATGGAACTTTGTTTCTTGAATAATTCCGGCTACATTTATTGGTAGGATGATTTCACCTTTAGTTGTTTCACTCGCCATGTTGAAGCTATTGAGAATCCGAGTTGCGGGTACGATCTGATCTCGTAGGCCGAGTTACTCTACGACCCTCGATCGAATAATATTGGCAGAGTTTCCTGGATCAATTAAAACACGTTTAACCTGAATTTTATTCATAAGGATGCTCATCATTGAAAGATAAAGTGCCTTCTGGCACATAGTCTCGAGATCGTTTTTCCCAGGTGATTGATACTTTAGTGCGTTTGAACACGGCCCCTTGTGGAATATCGACCCCACCAACGATCATGTGAATCACGTGTTGTGGTTCTTCCTGCTCGTTTTTCCAGTTTGCATCCCTGTCTCTGAAATGGTTTTTAGCTCGGTCGCTCAAGAATTCTCGAAGGTGACCCTCGTTGAATAGACGGGCCACCTCCTCCCTTAGTTGTCTGCAGTCTTCGGTTCTATGACCATGTGTACTATGGTATTTGCATATTTGATTGGGGTTTCTTTGGGATGGATCGGTTTGTAGGGGTCTGGGCCATCTAGTATCTTTGATTCTCCCAATGGGTGACACAATACCTGATGCGTCGATGCTGAAGTTGTATTCTGATAATCGTGGTGCTTCTGTGGGATCGGCATGTTTATCGAAGCCACTTTTGCTCATGAGCCCTCGAGAGCTCTGTCCTCAATCGTTCCTTCGATTATTTCGGATGGGATTGTGTCCTGGATCGTTGTTTCTGCGATCTGCGTTGTATGGTTGATACCGATCTCTGTTCGGCCGGGGTTCTCTGTCGATATCCCTTTGAGTTCTACCGACGGGCCTGTTTGGATAAACGGAACCGGAAGGGGTCCCCAATTGATCATCCTCGACCCCGATCTTTGACTGGTACCGATTATGTACATCGGCCCAGGTTACCGCTGGATATTCAATTAAATTCTGCTTTAGCTGTCGTGATGCCACCGAACTTAGTTCGTTCAAACCTTGAGTAAAGGCTTGAACGGCCCAATCGCCTGTGACCGGTGGTAGTTCCATGCGTTCCATCTGGAACCGAGATACGAATTCCCTCAACATTTCGTTGTCTTTTTGTTTTACCTTGAAGAGGTCCGACTTCCTAGCCACAACCTTTATTGCTCCGGCATGTGCCTTTACGAAAGAGTCTGCAAGCATGGCGAAGGAATCGATGGAATTAGGCGGCAAATTGTGGTACCATATCATTGCTCCTGTCGACAAGGTTTCTCCAAATTTCTTCAGTAGAACAGATTCAATTTCATCGTCTTCCAAGTCATTCCCTTTTATTGCGCATGTATAAGAAGTGACATGCTCATTAGGGTCGGTGGTCCTATTATACTTAGGAATTTCTGGCATTCGTAATTTCTTCGGAATGGGTTTCGGAGCCGCACTTGGAGGGAAAGGCTTCTGCACGAATTTCTTTGAATACATACCCTTTAGAATCGGCGGTGCCCCCGGTATTTGGTCAACCCGGGAGTTGTATGTCTCTACTTTCTTGTCATTTGCCTCGATTTTCTTTTCTCCCNCTTCTCCGCCCTGCGTACCTCGACCACCTTATCGAACTTCCCTGCGTACGCTACCTTCGGGATCAACGCCCAAATTTGCATTTAAGGCGACATGTGAACTGACATCGACGGGATTTGCAATTGGTGCTCCCTCGAGGTCAGCCTGAGGCGGCTCGATCCCTGGGGCGGCTATATTGTCATTTTTCCCGTGAAATCCGAGGCCGTTGTCACCATGTGTAGGCGTTGCTTGTGAGTTTGACATGTTTATCCTGAAAACAAAGATTCTTACGAGAACAAGTGTAAAGCAGTGTGTGTTATCGGAATCAGTATTANTCGAAATCAGTATTAAGCAATCACTATTATCCTTGGCCCCACGGTGGGCGCAAACTGTTTACCCTTAAAATTGGATAACAATTAAACTTATAATGTGGTTCTAAGGACACGTGATTTCACTTAATACCAATTGATAAATATGAAGATTAATAACAGAAATGAACTATAAAGTAAAGCAAACCAGTGTTAGAATGGAACTCAGCCCTCAAGTTTGGTTACCCTCGAACTGGTTGATGCAAGAACAATTAAAATATAACAAGCTGATGAACAGTAGTATAAACGAGAAAAAAAATTATATTGCTTTGATATCTATGAACAATGTGTGTTACAAATGATTAGAACCCCCCTTTAAATAGTAGAGGAATTCCACTTATGGTATAATTCTAATTACAGAAGGAAATCTCATGATTAGCTAATTAACCGTTTCTGATTTGATCCGTTCCGAGATTTACGCCATAATCCTCGACCAATCACGGATATCTCGCCTTTTTGTTATTGTGTTATCTTCGATTTTGCTCGATGTATGTATCATTTGGCTTCGATCGCTACTAGCCTCGATCTCAACAGGTACCTCGATTCTAAACTCGGTACCTTATCCTCGTGATTTAGTCTGTTCCGTTACGAGGCCGTCCTTCGATGCAGCTTCCCGATCTCGGTCAAATAGTAAAATCGGATGGGCCCGGTTTTAACCGTATACATCCTTACAATAGCTTCCAGTTTAGTCCTTTCTATTATGAACATCGGAAACAATAATAATCAACAATTTGCTTTGAAAGAGTTTGACCATAAATGTCCATTTGTTATTAATATAATAAGGGAATTAACTTTTGAATGACTAACCAAGCAATAAAACTCAAGTATGGAAAAGACCAATTTAAAATGAGTAGGGCAAATGCACGTCTATGTTTCTTAAGATATACTATTAATTGTCTTTCTAAGGATGATTTCGCAGCTATTTACACACTTATGCAAAAATCCAAGTAGTTTGTAAAGGACAGAAGCAAAACCAGTTATAATAAATGAAGCATGGAAATAATATGAGAGAGTTACAAGGAGGAAAGACGGACCAATTTACGGCGCTTCTCCCGAGGGGAATTGAACTTGCGGACGGTTTTGACGAAGGCAATGACAAAAGTAATACCAAAGTAAGCCAAGGGAACTGTTAGAATCCATGGGAAGGAGGTCTGGCCGACCCTGGGGCCAGGAAGAGCCTGAGTCACAGAACCGGTGAATTCAACCAGGTCCAATGCTTTCTCCTGTATCCATGAAAGCTCCTCTTCTTCTTCCAACTCTTGTTGTTTCTCTTCTTTCCTTTTATCACTACTCACATTTGCGCCGCTGTCACTCTTTGCTGCTGTAGTTGAAAAGCGCAACGCTGAAAAGCTGCTTCTACTACGACGGGGAAAACTGAAAATTTTACTGCTGTTGGGAGGAGATAGGGTTTGAGAAGTGGAGGCTACGCGGAGATGAGAAAAACGGTAAACTGTACAAGTAGAAGCGGCCATGGGAGACGCCGTTAGCATCAAGTGACTGTGATTGTTGTTACGTTGCCGGCAGAGAAAGAGGAGTACTACTATAGGCTAATCCTTTAAGGCCAGCGCGCCTCTCAATGTCGGCGGATGTTCACACATGACCCTTTTTATTTTCTTTTTTTTGGGTCCTCCGTTTCCGGAGCTGTAGCTTATAGCTTATTATGAATATTTCTTTGGACATAAATACTCCTAATTTACCATAAATGTTCAAAAATATTCTACTGATTTTCTAAATCACTAGTTTTAGAGTACGCGCGTTCTAATAAATATAAATTTTATAAAAATTACATAAATATTATTTACAAAAGTTCTGAATGATAAAAAAAAATTAAATTTAAATTCTTGAAAAAATTGATGAACGTTAATCATATTTATCTAACTCAATAAAAGAATATCTCTACTCTACAAATACCTTATTATTTGGACTTTCGTTAGGGATAGATTTGGATTCTCACATCATCCTTGCTAGGTATATTTGATCATTATCATGATAAAGAGACTATAAATGCTAATAAATGTTGTTATTTTCTTTCGCTCAATAATAATGGGTAATAACATCCGGCCACAAATTTTTAATTTAATATTTATTTGCGATTACATGCAATATATGCCTGCTAGATAGATTTATCGACGCCATGAGAACCTATCAAACTCTATGACAACAGTATTGAAAATATTTTATTAACATTCTTAAAAATAAATAGCTTAAAATAACTAACATTTTAAATATTACCAACCTTAAATCTTTAAAATTTTAGCAATCTAAAAGTTATCGTGAACTCCTGAGTATGAATTTATGTACAATTTGCTTTAAATTTTCGTCTCTTGGTATTTTGAAGTGGAAGATATCTAATGTCACCTAGATTATTGTTGTTTCGGGTGAAATAATAATTCCTAAGATTATAAATTATTGTAAAAATTAACTTACTCAATTTTTATATAAGTAATCTTACTGTGTTTATATTCCTAAATATTAGGAGTTCCTATATAGTTTAAATATAAAATATTTAATAGTCAAAACTTTAGTTAATTTTAACGTTCTAAAGATTAGAAAGTACCAATGAAACAATGATTTTGTCCAACGTGAAATTTATTTTTAATGATAAAAAGGTCAATCAATTTTGCATTAAGATTGCATGCTCCTATAATAGTCTAGATTGATTGAAGAAGAAAAAATTAAAAGAAAAATGAAACATTATTTTCCTATATATTTATTAGTTTTTAATTTTAGTCACATATTATTTACAATAATTATATAAATTAATGTAGTTTAATGCAAATACTAAGTGAAGCAAAATTGTTCTTCAACAAAAAAGAAATTATACATTTGATATTAAAAAAATTATTGTGTTCATCATGATACAATTGGAGTACCATTAGGATGTGTCACTTAATTGCCAACACTACTTCAAAAGAATGTCTACAACTTTTGCACTAACATTCCAAACGACTGACTTTTTAAGTATTTATTTAAGGATCTTTTTAAACTGATTTAAAGGCCTAAATTTTAGGTATCTAGTTTAAATGAGAAAAGATTTAATAACCTAATTTCAAGGAATTTTCAAGTCCGAAATATTAGGAAAATAATTAAATTACTATTTTATCTAGTGCGAACTCTATTTTTAAAGGGTAAATAAGGTGAACGACATTTCGCTAAGGGCCTTCGTGCTTTTAATATAACATAGATATTTTTAGGTCACTATTTATATTAATGGTCGGGTAAATTTCACAAATAATCATAAAACTATGACTTTTTTTACCAAAGTCATATAACTTTGTTTTCTCACACAAAAATTATAAACATTTCAATAACTCACACAAAAATCATAGTGACAAGAAATTAATTTTTTTATTTATTTTCAGTCTAATATATAATAACCCAATTAAAATAAAAAACATATATATGTTTAGCCCTCTAAAAAATTATATATATATATGTGCATATATATATATATATATATA